CCCCCCCCCCCCCCCCCCCCCAACAAACAACAACAAACACATGTAGGCGTTTCGCATCGGGTGTATACAAGGTTCGCTTTGGGAGGGAGGTACTCTTGTTCGGGAGTATCGTGGCACTGCATGAATATCTCCTGTCGAGTTGAACACATACGTACATGCGTCGCTTGTTTGGGCAACATGAATCCCCCTGAAAAAAACAATATTGCTTGTTTGTTTAGCTGAGCAGACTACCTGCCTGCTGTGGCAACCAAACCCACGGCACCCCTGACGTCGGCACCCGTCACCCTTGCCGCTGCCCACCACCGTTTGTTTCCCTCTGACTGATTCCCCCGTGTTTCACCCAACAACACAACATCGGGGCCCGCTGTCTGTGGTTTGGAGGTTTGGAGGTGGTTTCGCCAATGTTCACCCCCACCGCCTCGTGTCTCACCAGGACCACAACCGTACACACCAAAACGCGCACGCAGCAAGCAGATGCGGCACGTGCATATGGAAGCCGGAGCGGGGGTGAGATGGGAGGGGCGCGGGGAAGGGGTGCCCACTCACGACGGTTAGGGAACACAACTACACATGCACACACCGTACCTGCATCAATCCTGTGGTCATGAATTTGCTCAAAAATTGGAACTTTGGTCTTTTATTGCATGAAGAACGAAGAGGTCACACCGAGTGAGTACAGCAGTACTCGGAATGAACCACCCCTCAACGCTTCGTTTGGCGAGGCGCCGGGCTGCTGCAGCGGCGACAAGCTTCCTAAAGCTCGAGCGAGCGCGACACAGCCGACCGCTGGCTGGCTAGCTGGCCCGTTTCGGAGACCAAGAGAAGGGCAGCACGACAGAACAAATATCCGACACCATACACGGCACCCTCAACCGCTTACGTGAGAGTCCTTCCCCAGGCCAAAACTACAATAGCCGCCCTGAGCAACACCCCAGCATAGAGACGCGACGCTGCCCCAGCTCTGACGCAAGTGCTGCTGCTGCTGCTGCTGCTGCTGCTGCTGCTGCGCGTGACGGGCTACAGACAGCGACCGCTAGAAGATCCACCAAAACAAAACAGAAAACGCCTCCCGCAGCAAGAAATCCCAAAAGCGAACAGGGACAATAAATTCGAGCGGACCTACCGAGGATGAAGAGAAGCCGAAGAATCGCGGCAGAGTCTAGTTAGACATCGTCCGGCAGCAAGCAGTGCGCAACTAATTTTCTCGCCCAAAGGCACGACACTTGTAGACGTATGTTAAAACGAATGACTTCTCCGCGTTCTCGTACCACGTCGAGCTCATCCCACGACCTCGGTACTTCGTACTTCCGCCGCAACCGCCGGTTGCCGTTTCCGTGCGTGGAAAATCTTGCCCACGAATTCAGAGAGAAAGTCATCAGCCCGAAACATAAGACGTGGCGGATTCTCGAAACGTCATCCAACAATAAACAATGCAAATGATGGCGCGTCTTCGAGCGCAACTCTGCTGTCTCGCTGCTGGGGAGCAGGCCAGGTTTGCAAACAGAACAATAAAAATAAAATAACACACAGACAGGCAACAACTGAGATCATCATGTGCGCGTGTTCGTTTTCTTTGCCCACAACGCGGCGGCCGAGATGAGAGGGAAGGAAGAACACCGTCAACTTCAAAACCCAATCATCGCACAAAGCCGTTGCCGCCACCGCCGCAACGCAACCACTACCTCGACTACTATTACCACCACCACCATCACCCAAGATAGCACTACCGCCACCGCCCCAACAACACATAACACAGCACGTACTCTCTCCCCTCCGTCCCACGTAACCTCTTCGGGCACGGCACATGAGTCACGACCTCTCTCCGTCTTGGACGACAAGACCGGACACCCCTCCCTGCAAGCCCGCAGCTGGCGTTTGCGTCCAAAACGGGCGTAGTCACAGCGAGACGTTTCCGATGCCGTCTTACACGAAGAAGCAGCAGCAGCAGCAGCAGTCGCTTGCCCCTATCCGCCACTAAACGTGCTATTGCCCGTTCGGGGAAACGCGTGCGCTGATACGCTTCGAGACCAACCGGTCGCTGTGCAACAACAACAAATACCATCTGTTCGCCACGCCTCACACTCAAACACCGGTCCGCCCACCCATCGACAGCACGCCTTGGGCTAGATCGAGACTTGTCTGCTTCTCCTTCTTTTTCCCAATCCTCCCTGGCTATCCCCGGCCTCATCAGGGTACGTTCTTCGAATTCAGCAAAGAACAGTTTCATTTCCGACAGCCGAGAGAGAACTCCCAAGATAGGAATCACGCCGCGCAGAACGGGCGAATTTTCTTGGAAAATTCCCGCGGCGAGCGAGCAAGAGAGACAAGAGAGACTAGAGCACGAAAAGGGAGGAACGACTATAAACATCGATGGCTTCAACCGTCCCCTTTTTCTGGTCTCCCCAACAACGATGAAAACAAACCACACGCGGGCACAGGCTATGCAGTCGACACTCACTCCGCTGCTGCTGCTGCTGCTGCACCCCCCCAAACGTCGGCCAGTAGCCTTTCCCTTACTCCTTTGGTGATGGCCCATGGTAAGCAACCGACACTGTCTCTGCTTGATTGCAAGCGAAATGCGTCGATTATGACATATACATATCTAGGAAATGTGTAATACCCCTCCCGAACAAAAAAAAAACATCAAAACGGTTGCAGGTCGCCCTCCTTGAACTCGGAGAGATCCTGGATCCCTCGGCAGAGATGAGACGATAAATGCTCGAAAAGCAACAAGTATGAGTACACAACAGACTACTGCTCGACCCCTCCTTTGACCCGCCTTTCGTTCGGTGAGAGCGTGGCCATCGCTTCATAGCTGCACCCCAGGGATAGCCTCAAGACAGACAGGTGGAAGCCCCCACACCCGATGCCTTCCCGACCTCTCGCTGCCTTTCCGTCGCCAAACGATAGCTTTTCACACGTAATACAGCCTGCCAGCTTGGGAGGAAGCCCTAGCTGTATAACAGCGCCAACACACGTCGTACACAAGTCGCAACACAAAGGCAAGCACCTATCACTTCTTACCAAACCTCTTCCTCAGCTCTGAACGCCACACACACGCACACGTACAGAGCGCGTCGGCGGACAAAGCAAGCAAACCCCGTTCACCTACGCACGTACCCCCCCCCATCCAACCCCCTCCAACCCACGCCTGTATGAAGAGAACACGGAAACCACTCCTGGAATAAGAGTTGGATTTGTTCATTGGTTCCTATGATTTGTTACGAGCCTTTCTTCTTCAGCTTCAGGGACAATCATCGATCACCGCCGACCCAAACCACATCCATCTGCGGTGAAAAACAAAACTCTTCGGGTGAACGGGCAAACAAACACAACAAAAAAATCGTCTCTAACAGCAATTCAACCCAGGAAAACTCCAGCCGAAACCATCCAGCTGAAAAAGGACACTGTTGAGCCAGCAGCCCTTCAGCAACAACTGTATTGTTCCGGTTGGTCTATCGATCCCTCTTATGTTGTTTTCTCAGGACACGCGCTCAACACACCCGCGTGATGGTGGCGGCGGCGGTTGGTGGAGTAATATTTCCACGAGCCAGACAGAGAGCAACGGCGAGGAGAAAACAGACACCCTTCTTGGATGCGCAGACACGCACACCCATCAAAAATGAGGGACAACAAACAAACGCAAATATTCCCCCATCCCCCCCCCCCCCCCTTTGTATTTCGCAAATTTTCACCGGTCGCCTTCCAGAATCACCCCCGGAACCTCGTAAGTAAAACCGTCGAAGTGCCCGTCCGGCCCCGGGGAGACTATCCCGCCGCCCAAGGCCATCGTGTCGATGGGCATACGGGTGAACTGGGGGTCGAAGTTGTGCGTCGACTCGGACCCCTGTTTCTGGTTGCGGCAGGGGTTAAGGGGGGCCGGTATGCGCTTGGCCAGCAGGGCGGCCCAATCGAGGCCCCTGAAGAATTCGTGGTTCATCACCTGCCGAGTGCGGGGGGTACGTAATTGCACATGGGGATGTTACTAGGGTGGCATGGTTTTATTTCATCACGTGGCGCGCGTGGGCACGCTGTTCAAGGATTACTAGTAAGTAGGTGACATCGTTGCATCGCCTGCCGAGTGTGGGTATGCACGGCAAGGACCATGTTTTTTCAATCACCTGCCACTTGCATGCATGGTTAGGGACGTCAGTAGGGTGGCATGGTGTCACCACCACCTGTCGTGTGTAAGGATGTGCTATTGCATAGTTTGGCGCTGAGCGCGGTCGATGCTATCGCGACAAACAGACCATAAAACAAGCACAAGACCAAGAAACGACGAACGGACGGGCGAGAACGCACCTGCAGCGCTCCGAGCGTGCCCAGCCTCTTGGACGGATTTCTCGTCAGCAGGCCGCCGATGATGCTTGCCGAGGGGGCCGATACGTTCTTGGGGATCACGAGGGGCGCCCCCCTAAGCCGCTCGAAGAGCTTCTGCCTGTCCTTCGTGTACCACGGGGGAAGGCCCGTCAGCATCTCGTACATGAGCATGCCAAGCCCCCACCAGTCCACTGCCGTGCCGTGCCCGGCCTTGTTGATCACCTGGGAGGCGTTTGGATGGG